AAGACTTGGTCACCCGTGCTCCAACCTTTTTTAATCTTTTACCATTGGACCTATTTCTAGCCCTCTCGTTTTATTTGACTTTGTCTTATCCATTGCCACTTTCTCTCTCTCTCTCTTTTTATAATTTATTTTTGTTGTTAAGAATATACACAGCAGAACATTACACCAATCCAGCCACTTCTACATGTACAATTCAGTTACATTGATAGCATTCTTTGAGTTTATTCATGTTCTTATCAAAGTGCCAATCCTGTACTACTCTCTGGATTGTGACCACAGCAAGTTCTTTCTTAAAACCTGCCAGCCTCCACCCTCCCTTTCTCTCCCCGGGCATGTCTTCAGCTGGGTCCTCCTGTTGATGTGCCAACCCACCCTCCTTCCCTAGCACTTGGCTGCTGTCGAGGAAAGGAAGATCAAATCTCTGGTGGCCCTGCTGGTGGAGACCCAGATGAAAAAGTTGGAGATCAAACTCCGGCACTTTGAGGAGCTGGAGACGATCATGGACCGGGAGCGCGAAGCAGTGAGTATCTAAGTCCTGAGAGATCACAGAAGAAAGGCCAAATCTCAGAGGCTAGTAAATTGATTAGGGCTGGCTTCCTGAGAAAGATGAGTCTTTAGCCCATTTTGAAGGAAGAACATGAATTGATAGGAAGAACTGAAAGGGTTTTCCAAATCAAGGTAACAGCAAGGATTTGGGACTGAAATGAGCAGTTAAACTCCATTGCCATGAGAAAGGCATGTAGGCAGCTAGGGGAAATTAAGGTCAGGGAGATTCATGAGGGTCAGAGGGTGGAAGACAGAAGAGGAGGCCCAAGCACAAGGTTTACATCTGATATGAGGAACTGCTGGAGTGAGAAGCTGGGTGTACCAGGAGAAGACCAAGCAGGGGCAAGGTGTTTGCTTTGGGTCTTCTGAACGCCAGGTAACAGTACTCATTTGGCACTGGCAGCTGGAGTATCAGAGGCAGCAGCTCCTGGCCGACAGACAAGCCTTCCACATGGAGCAGCTGAAGTATGCAGAGATGAGGGCCCGGCAGCAGCACTTCCAGCAGATGCACCAGCAGCAGCAGCCGCCGCCTCCAACCCTGCCCCCAGGCTCCCAGCCCATCCCACCGACGGGGGCTGCGGGGCCCCCCTCAGTCCATAGCTTGGCTGTAGCTCCAGCCTCTGTGGGCCCTGCTCCTGCTGGCAGTGGGGCCCCTCCTGGAAGCTTGGGCCCCTCTGAACAGATTGGTCAGGCAGGGCCAACTGCAGGACCGCAGCAGCAGCAGCCAGCTGGAGCCCCCCAGCCTGGGGCAGTCCCCCCAGGGGTACCCCCCCCTGGACCCCATGGTAAGTAAATCAGTTCTGGAATTCTTGCTGGCTAGGATCAAGATATGTGTTGTAGTTCACCTAGAAGGGGTATATATGATGAGGACCGGAGATCAGGACCTACCTCAGTTTCCACAGATCTCTTATATCCCTGACCAGCAGGGATTCCCACTCCCAAATCAGATTTTTGGGATTTCATCCCAAGGATTTACATTAGTCTACTCAAAAAACCAAACTCACTGTCATCAAGTCAGTTCCGACTCATAGCAACTCCCATTGGGTTTTCCAGGCTATAAGTCTTTACAGAGGCATCTGCCCCATCATTCTTCCATGGAGCACCTGGTGGGTTCAAACCACTGACCTTTTGGTTAGCAGCCCAATGGCTTAACCACTACACCACCAGAGCCCCTTATTCTATCTTAGGAAAAGGGAGAGTGCCACTAGGGAGTGGCTGGTTGTCCTTGCTGTGAAAGTGCAGTGGTAAGCTAGATTTTATGCCTTTGACCTTCTCTCTCTCCTCTTTGTTCCCAGGCCCCTCACCGTTCCCCAACCAACAAACTCCTCCCTCAATGATGCCAGGGGCAGTGCCAGGCAGCGGGCACCCAGGCGTGGCGGGTAATGCTCCTTTGGGTTTGCCTTTTGGCATGCCGCCTCCTCCTCCTCCTGCTCCATCCATCATCCCATTTGGTAGTCTAGCTGACTCCATCGGTATTAACCTTCCCCCTCCTCCTAACCTGCATGGGCATCACCACCATCTCCCGTTCGTCCCGGGCACTCTCCCCCCACCTAACCTGCCTGTGTCCATGGCGAACCCTCTACATCCTAACCTGCCGGCGACCACCACCATGCCATCCTCCTTGCCTCTCGGGCCGGGGCTCGGATCCGCCGCAGCCCAGAGCCCTGCCATTGTGGCAGCTGTTCAGGGCAACCTCCTGCCCACTGCCAGCCCACTGCCAGGTGAGAAGGGTCCAGAAGGGGAGAAGGGTGTGAGGGAGAGGGGTCCACAGAAAGGGATGGCGGATGGGTGGGGTAGAGGTCAGGTACTGGAGCTCCCACAATCCTTTGTGAACTCTGGTAAAATTAGAATACAGGAGGAAGGGCCTCTCTGGCTATCCTCCTCCTGCCCCCCAACCTGGCAGCTGCCACCTCGGGGATGATGTTGGGGCCTTTCACTGGTGGGTCATGGAGGAGTCCTCTGGCACAGAGCGTCTCAGTTGTAAACTGAAAAGTAGCTACTTGTTTGCATGATGGTTGGCATCTCCTTTGCCTGCTCCCATCACATTCAAATGCCTCATTTAGTAAACTCAAGTAATAAGCCCCCGTCTGCACGCCACCTGGGTGTGCCGTGTACCTTGAGAGCATTTCCTTGGAGGCAGGAGGGTGATTTGGGGTTTTTCCCAGTGTGGGGGAGGGTGTGGGGAAGAGAAAGTTGTACTTGGCAGAGTACCTCATTCATCTAGCCACCCATTGCATGCCATGCTCAGTTCTGTGCTGTCTGTGGTAGCCCGGCTCCCTCTCTTCTGCTCACCATGGCTGATTCCTCTTCCTTTTCTCCACAGACCCAGGCACCCCACTGCCTCCAGACCCCACAGCCCCGAGCCCAGGCACGGTCACCCCTGTGCCACCTCCACAGTGAGGAGCCAGCCAGACATCTCCCCCTCTCCCCCCATGGAGATCAAGGTTCCAGGAACAGCCCTCCCCCCACCACTGGGACCCCTCCCCAGCCTGGAGAGTTCATCACTAAGTAAGGAAAGCTCCTCCTACCCTTCCAGAGTCCCCACCATGCCTGTTGGTGCCTCAAAGGCATGTGTTTTTATATTGGATTATTCAAGGACTTCTGCTGAAAAGCTGTTTCTAATGTCTGGGAGAGAGAATAGGATGGGAACGCTGCCCTCAGAGGATGGGCTGTGGGAAGGTATTTATATAAGGTAATTAACCATGTCTAAGGGTATACTCTCCCAAAAGAACTACTACATTTTTTATGGATAAAAAAAATTAAGCCCACTAAAAGTAGAGCTTTAAAAAAAGAAAAGCCACAATCGGAGCTCCTTTCACCCACTAAGAAATAACTTGCATTTTTTTGAGGGGATAGCAATTTTGGCAAAGGGGAATTAAGGTCTGGGAGAGCTCTGCGGATAGAATAGGGTGCAGAATCTGCCCCCCAGGCCCCTTCTTAGTGACTGCGTCACCACTCTAACACATGCCCGTCATCTGCCAGCCCCCAGTACTAATCTCTCCTGCTGCTTCCTCAGTACTGTGGCTTTAGGAGCCCCCGGCTCCATTGTCAGTTTGTGTTTAAGTCACTTGCTTAGCTGAGGTCAGTGTATTTGGTGGAGACTAGAGTTGGGGGTTCCTGTGGTCACAGAGGAACAAAGGGCACTGGGTGCACTTCTTCCCTCCCTCCCTGTGCTCAGCAGTTCCTCGGAGGCATGAAGAGGGGAGCTGTAAGAAGATGGCAAGTTTTTAAATCTTGAATTTTTCAAAACACTTAAGTACTTCCTTCTTATGACTCAGTGGGCCACTCCCCAGCATCTTTCCTCTCCCACCAAGACCATCAGAATCTTGATTGGTAGCTAGGGGTTCCCTGGATGAGAACACAGGGATTTGGGAGCAGCAGGGAGGGGGCCACCCAGCCTAGGGTGGCACAAGTCACAGCCTCAGCCTGTGGTGTGACCCTGCCTCCAGATCCCAGTGCCCCTAGTCCCAGCTCTCACCCTCTTCATCCTTGATATGAAGGCAGATGTGATTCCAGGCTCTACCCCCCAATTCTTGGCCCTGCCCACCAGTCCCTTCGTCCCTCACATCCCAGTGTTTCTCTTACTCTGCGTCTTGGCACCTTTCTTCTGTTAAAAAGTTTTCTGTAAATTTTTTTTTTTTTATAAATTAATTTGCTTTCAGTTCCATCTTGTGGATGCCTTCTGTATTCTGTTACCTGTGGCCATCAAGTGGGAGGCTGGGCTGGGGGCAACATTTCCTCAGTCCTTCACAGAGGCTGGGCAGAGAGGCATTCGGCAAGCCACAGGGCTCAGAGACACGGAGCCTCTAACCACACAAGGCAACAGGCATCACAGCTGTACCAGGCATTGCAGGCATTGGTGCAGGAGCCGGGCAGAGGCTCTCACCTGCCCTAAAAATAGCTATTTAAGACCTGGGAGCACATCCCCACAACCTGGAGACTGTCTTTATCCCTTTGTTAGTAGCAGCTTCATTCTTTCCCTTATTAGGAGGGACGGGAGGCAGCCATCTCACCTACTTCTGTTGTTATTGGTCCCTGAGGTGACAGGCTCAGGCAGTGCTAATATGGCCTGGCTTATGCTCCAGTAAACTCTCCCCAGACTTCCCCACAAAAGGCCATCATCAACGTTTCGGAGGGTAACTACTAGGTTTAAGGAGACAGAGTGCTAGAAGACACAACCTGATATGGGATGGCACAAGCATGGCACGCCTTGGTCCTACAGGGATTTTATGGCCTTCCTCATTCTCCAAGGGGCAGCATTTGTAGCATAAATCAGTGGGGCCAGCATTTCTTAATGAGGCTAAGATGGCTCCTACAAGCCCTTCTCCCAGCTTTGCCCAACCCCTGGCCCATGACCCTGGGCTCTGATTCAGGGCAGAAATCAGCTATCATTGCCATCTTCTGTTCTTCCCCCTCACCCTGCTCACAAAGGAAAGCAGGACCAAACCTGGGCACAGAGAGCAAGTTTATTTGGTAAATGCTGCTGGCAAGCATTATCTGAGAGAGACAAGATGGGAAAGGTGCTGTGACAGCTGAGGAGGCCTTCAGGGCTAGATAGAGTCTCACACAGGAAAAGGCACAGGGTCTGGGGAAACAGGAAGGGCTGCCCTCAGCCATTCAGCACCATACGGACGAGCTCTGTGGAAAGGAAACGTGGGGTGACTAGGAGGCAGGCTGAGGGGAGGGGCACACCAGGAGTCAGGAGACTGTTAAGACCACGAAGGTAGCTTAAGAGGCAACATGTTTGCAGCAACCCACCTTGGGGCCAGGCTGCAAAGGAACCACCTTGGATCTAACCAACTCTCTCTGCTCCTAGCTCCCCTCCCACCAGCTGTTAGTCTTCCACCCGACCATGAGCAGCAAGAACACAGCAGAGGCAGAAAAGTTCTCAACTACACCTACAGCTACTGTCAGCCACTGGCAGGAGGAGAGGACACAGTTTTGGGTTAGGGTACCTCCAAGCTGCCCAGCAGAGGGAAGGGGAAAGGACTACAGCTATAGCAACAGAATGGACAGGCAACCCACCTTCCTATGCCAACCACCCATGCTCTGGGGCCAGAGGGCCACCCTACAGCAAGACTGGTATAGGCTGGTGAGAGTTCCCAGACACCAGCAACCAGGGTCCTAAAAGCAAAACCTCAGAGTCCAGAGCAGATGCCCCCCATTCTAGGAGAGAAGTAAGGAGGTACCGTACCCCCCAGGCTGTCTTCCTCTTGAAGAACCCCTCCCCTCCCCAGTCAGCTCCATGCAGAAACATGCCAGGATGAAGTCAGAAATGGTAGTAGGGTAAGGGCAGGGCTGGAGAGCAAAGGCTGGGAAGAAAAACACTGGGCAGGTCAACTAGAGAAGGAGAGGCTGGGAGGAGCCGTACCCGCCCCATGGGGCCCGTCACCCCGACAGGATATGCCTCACAAACGCTGCAGGAAGGAAGAGACATTAATGGTGAAGACAAGACACAGACATGGGGCGAAGGGGCAGGCGGTGGGGGAATAGACATTCATTTTACTTCCCATTCCTTCCCCACCAAACCACATTACCCCTTTCTTTCCTGGCACACCCCATGACCTCCCACTCCTGGGCTGGGCTGGGCCCTGCCCCTTGCCTCCTGACTCCTGTTGGAGCCCAAGTCCAAAGACAAAGAAAGCCCCAAATGCTTGTCCTTGACCTGTCCCACATCCTCCAGGAAAGCCTCAACTGGCCCCTCACCTTCATAGTTAATACAACCATTGCTGTCCTCATGCCCTGCCACCAGCATCTCTACTTCTTCCTCTGTCATCTTCTCACCTACAGAGGGAAAGAGAGCATTTTTGGAATCAGGTGACAAAATGTATCAGATGGCACCTCAGCTCAAATAGCAAGGGCACGGTCTTACCCAATGTGACAAGGACGTGCCGGATTTCAGCACCCATGACGGTACCATTCCCTTCCTTGTCAAACACCCGAAGGCCTTCAACATAGTCTTCATAGGTGCCCTGGTCCTTGTTCTTGGCCACAGTCTGCAGCATGGGCAGGAAGTGTTCAAAATCCAGCACCTTCACATTCATCTCTGCCATAAAAGAGGCGACAGAGGCATGGTGTCAAGCCAGGAAAGTCACCTGAGTTCTTACGACTGAGAGAATTACAGGGATCACAACTGTGAATAAACAGCTCCCTGTCAAAGCAGGGGAAATCCATGAGATTGGCTAGTTGGGACAAGACTTGTTTGAGTTTGGGGGCCTATGAAGGTAAAGGGAATCTCTTAGCTGAAAAACTGCAGGCCCTCTCTAAGGAGTTGGTCTTAAGGATCCTCACCGTCACTCTTGGGGTTCCCCAGGACCTTGAGCACCTCGGCGTTGGTGGGGTTCTGACCCAGGGCCCTCATCACGTCCCCACACTGACTGTACAGGATCTTGCCATCACCTGTTCGGTCAAACAGCTGGAAGGCTTCCTTAAACTCTGAGGATTCAGATGAATGTCAGTACTGGGGAAAAGAGGGTTAACCAAACACTACTCCAAGTCACACTGCACCCACTCAGCTTTGATCATCCTCAGGTAACCAGATATCTGTACCACTATACACCCACATCGGCTAAGAGGCTTCCTTTTCGCCCAACTCGGGTATCTCACTTAAAGATACACCCTTTCTCCCTGTCCGGTGCCAGAGGCACTGCCTGCCCAGCCTCCTCACCACTAACTGCTCAGGGCAGGAATTTGCACCGCCTGGTCTAGGCCCTGTCCTTATAAGGAAGTGGAAGCAGCAGCCTGGGCCGGATCATTCCAGCCTGCCACTTCCACCCTTCCCGTATAGAAAGGGTAGACAAAATCAGCTGTATCCTTAGCAACCACCCTCTCCTTATCTCCACAAACTTGACCAACATCACAATTTCCAGCTGGGGTAGAGGGGCAGTTATCACAGGAAGAGAGAACAGGCAGAAGTAGCTAATTAACGGACAGCGGAGCGCAGCAGCTCAATACACCCCAAACCCCACACACAGCAGGCATTAGGTGATCAAGCATTTTACATATCCACACCACCTAAAACTCACCCAGTGCTTGGGGCTCAGATCTATAGTGGAAGGGGAGGGAGGAAGAAAGAGTGAGAAAAGAAAATGGAGGATTGAGAAGAGCCGGGGTTACTGTGCTGAAGAGAGACGATATGTTGGGGGCTAGAGAATAGGTGCGAGGGGTGTCCCTCTCCTTAAAGGTGACCTCAGTAGGAGCCAGAGCTTACTTACCTGCGGTCTGGTCCTCGGTGAAGTCACACTGCTCAGAGAAAAGGGGAGCGGTCAGCACCTTAACTCCTATCCCCCAGCTTCTATCCCACAAAGTGAACCACCACAAACTCGTTTCATGCTGAGGACGCACTTCCCAGCAGGACATGACCTCAGACTTTCCAACCCCCTCCTACCGTCCAGGCCCTGAGGTTCCCCTCGCCCCCTACCCGTCTTCCTGGCCTTGCCCCAAATCCCTTTCATGCTCCCAGGCCCTGAGCCCCACCATCTTGACTGCTCAGGTTTCGGGACCTTTTTCTGCAGTAATGGCTCCGACTCCAGGCCCAACCCTAGTCTTAGTACGTCCCCTGACGTCACTCTCAGCGGATCCAGCCAATAGGAAGCCGGCCCGGGTTTAGACAGAGGATATTGCCGCATTAGCAATGAAGTGGGCGGGACCTGCGGCTGATTGTCATTCCAGAGTCGCCCTACCTGGGACTCCAGAACTGCGGAAGGGAGTGAGGGTAGGGCACCAACGAATCTGCTCCTCCAAGTGATGAACAGTGGAGAGGGTATTAGATTTGGGGAGAGAGAGCCCTCCTTCCTTCCCTCCCCAACCGCTGAAGAAAACAACGATCAAGCCGAGGGAGGAACCATCTCTTTATTTGAAACAATAGGTGGCCTCCTAGTGGCAGGAACGTATGTCCTCCTGCGGGGGGGGGGGGGGGGGGGGGGGGGGGGGGCAGAGGGGCGCAGTGTCCGGCCCCACGGGATCTGTGGAAAAAGATGAAAGTTGCCTGGCGCTCGCGCAGAAACAGGACAGGAAAATGCACTCCGCTGCTGTTATGCTCAGGAAAGGGAAGGAGACTTGCCTCTCAAGGATGAGGGGGAGGGTGTTCCCCTACATGTAGAGCTCAGACGCTTAGGATGTGCTTCAGGAAGGCTGTAGAGAGAAGAGGCAAGAGGGGCTTCAAAAACAGGCCCATAGATACTCCACCTGACCTTAGATAACCCAGGTCCCAGGGTCCCCCAACCCACTTTTCCCTCCTCCCTGTCCCTTCTGCACCTTTGGGCTCTCACCCTCATAATTGATGCAGCCATTGATGTCCTCATGTCCTGCCAGAACAGTCTCCACCTCCTCCTCAGTCATCTTCTCTCCTGAACCCCAGACACAGTGTCTTAGCCCTGCCTTCCTTCCCTCACCAACCTAGGCCTCACCCTTCTGGGTGGTATCTCCTCTTCTTCCACCCTGGAAACTTGCCCAAAGCAACTTCTCCCAAGGAATCCTGCCCTAATGGTGGTAGGGCCCTGCATGTGTTACAGAATCTTGCTGTCTATTTTGCCTGCATTAACAAAATGCCTTGGTATTGGTGAAAGCTTTGACAAAGGAGGAAAATGAGTTCCAGAGGGTTAAAAGACCTGTATCAGACCACAGAACACAGCCATCTATCCCCAAATGGAAACAGGTGGACCTCCTCCATTCCCTTTCCTCTGCCCTTTATGCCCACCCCCCTCACTTAAGCCTCTGCAGGAGGAAGTCCTTCCAGATTCTGCTCTGACCTTCTAGTCTCCCGCCCATGACCTGGAGGACAGTAACCCCCTCCCTGGCTTTGCCCATTTGGTCAAACTTCTTCCTCTCTACCCCACAGGAATTCTGGTCCCTGCCTCACCCAGGGTGGTGAGGACATGTCTGAGCTCTGCTCCCATGACTTTGCCGTTCCCCTCTTTGTCAAACACCCGAAGCCCCTCCAAGTAGTCCTCATAGGAGCTTTTTTCCCGGTTCTTGGCGATTGCCTGGAGCATGGGCAGGAAAGTCTCAAAGTCTACACGCCGGGACTTCAGTTCTGGAGGTTAGAAAGAGGTGAGAGAGATGTCATTGTGGTGTCATCCAGGGCCCATCCCTACCACAATGGTTTCTATGCTGGTCCACATTTTAGGATGCTTTTCTGCCCGTGTCTGACAGTTTTGTAACCTGAGACCCACCTGAGCATCCTTTGCACCATACCAACATTCCTGGGTTCCACCACCAAACTGAAAACCCACTTTATTCCAAGGGTCCCCTTACCATCACTCTTGGGGTTCCCCATGATCTTGAGGATTTCAGCGTTGGTGGGGTTCTGGCCCAGGGCCCTTATCACATCCCCACACTGGCTGTACTGGATCTTGCCATCACCCACTCGGTCAAACAGCTCGAAGGCCTCCTTGAACTCTGAGGTTACAGGGAAAAGTCAGTGTTGACCATGGGTTCCCATCAACCCCAGCCAGAACGGGGGTTCAGAAACTATGGGCTAGTACCGGGCAGCACAGGGGACACAAAAGAGGACAGTGTAGGAGACTTCAAGGTCAAGACTAGAATTAGGGGAATAGAAAGAGGATTTGAATAGGGGCTTGGGACTGGACAGTGGGCTTAGGGGACCAGCTTCTCCTCACCCTCCAGCTGATCCTTGTTAAACTCGATCTGTGGAAGAAAAGAGCAGGTGAAGAAGGATGACAGGGCTTATTAAATCCCTCTCCAGTCCTCCTCCCAACCAACTGGCAGCCACTTCTAAGGAGGGGCCCAAAGGGACCAGTCTGGGAGCCCAGCCACCTCAGTCCCATTCCCAGCTCTGGGCCTTGGGAGAATCCCAAGAGGAGGAATTATGGGGGGAGGGTTTCCTGGGAACAGGGTTAATCCCATACCACCTGTTCTCCTCCCTCCACTGCCCTGAGCCCTGCATCCTTCACATAACTGGGGACTGAACAAAGGCTAAATTTACCCCTGCCCCCAGCTGTGATTGTCTAACAAGCCTGTCTCCTTCAGCCTCTCCTCCTGGGGTTGAGCTGTGGCTTTTGAGTTGAATAGCCAGCCAGGGGCAAGCAGCATCTCCCCCCCATTCACCTTGAAAAAACTATGCTCAGACCCAGATGTTCCCCATCTCATAGTTCCCGACTCCAGCAAGGAAGTCAGTGAATGTGTGTGTACACATGGGTGTGTGTTTGTACACACACATGTTAATAGGTTCAAGGGAGAAACAGCACAGACAACAGCAGAGTCATAGGCTGGATGTTTCCAAATGGAGAACTAAGAGGAATTCCCAGTCTCATCTCAGTGCTCATCCATTCTCTGCCTTCTAGACCCCTCAACCCTTGATGCTATATCTCACCCTTGCACCACCTTCTCCAAATTGTACCCTCACTTTCTGGGGACTCACCACAACTTTGGAGAGATCGATGGGGGGCTCCTGGGGTTTTTCAGGAGCCGGGGCAGCAACTGGGGCAGCCGGGGCAGCAGCTGGCTCAGCCTTGGCCTTGCCTGGAGGGACCGCTGATGCTGCTGGCTTGGCAGCAGCAGGCTTTGAGGTAGAGGGCCCCACTGGTTTCTTCACAGGAACATCCTTCTTGGGAGGCATGATGTCCGGTAGCCAAAGGACAGTGTGCCGATGGGGGCACCCATCTCTGTTTAAATAGCCAGGGAGTCTGGGATGTCAAGGGGCGGGGGCAGGGGCAGGAAGCCAGTTGGCAGTGTTGAGGATGAGGTAGAGGAGAGAAATGCCTGTTTGCCCTCACTCCCCTGGCATCCTGTGGTTCAGGACTCCTGTCCCAAGGTCTTTCACCCACTGTCCACCTCTTTCCAAATCTGGCTGAAATAATGTCTCCATTGGGGGCAGGGGGAGAAAGCCAGAGACTGCCCATGATGGGGGCATTAACCACCAGGGTGAGGATAGGATGGCAGGTACCACTGAGAAGTGAGGAAAAGAAGAGCATCTATGCATTCCAGCCCCTGACTCAGGGTAGCCTTTTTTCCTAGAACCTTTCTTTAGACTCTTGAAAGCAGAGGCAAGGAGGGGGGCCTTGTTAAAGTGGGGTCTAGGAATAGCAAAGGGTGAAAAAACAACCAATCCTTCCACCCTTCTGACCATGGGTGACAAGCAAGGGTAGGTGACCCCACGGCCTGATTTCCAGCTTCTGTAATCCCTGGCCCAGCCCTCCACTGCCCACAATATAGAGAAAGAATAGCAACAAGAAGGGGAGTATGGCACCCTCCCCTCATTGCCTCCTGTGCCCAGGATTGTCTTAAGGATGGGGACAAAGGTCAATTTTAATATCCACCACCCATACTCAAGCGAATGGTCATTCAAATCAGACAAAGGATGAGGTGATTATCGAACCTCCCTCCAGGGACCCTGGTGGCACCTGGGGGATGTGGGGAGGCAAAGAGCCTAAATTCTCTAACCCAGAAGGATATGGGAGGGAAAACCTATGGGTTCCATTAAGACTGACCCCAAAACCTATAGATTCCATGAATACTCAAAAGCCCTTCTGAGGACGCTAGTAAAGAGTCGGAGTGGGGGAGGGTACTAGGGAAAGGGATGCAGACTGCTTTTGTTCTGGGGATGAAAAAAAGGGGAGGATTTAGGTATCATTTTGGTAAAGATAGACGTGATTTCACATAGAACCTAGGGTTCAGATTGTGATGCTGGGTATCCTATTCGCAAAAATGCGTCTGAATGCCTCAATCGAAGATTGTCCCATTTAATCTGGTATTATTCCTCCCGCAGGGAGTACATCCTAAACAGACAGACATATGCACATACACACATACACTTACACACACAGGGAGCCTTAAATAAAGGAAGGAGCCCCAAACCAGGGCCCGAAAACTCACCCTGCGGAATCCCGGGAAGGGGGGGGGCGGGGCTCAGAGTGGCGCCGGCCCCTGAAGAGTTAATGCCGGCGGCCTCGAAGCATGCCGGGAGCTGTAGTCCCGGTGCGCCCGGGGGCTCCAGAGTTACTCTGCTCTATGACTTGAGGCGGACGTTAAAGCAGTGGCTTCCGGCCCTTGACGGCGGTTAGTGATTAGTATCTTTTGAGTGCTCTTTTTGTCCCGGAACTGAAAGACATTGAGCAATTTAACACCCCGCATCTCTGACCCAAAACCCTGTTGGACCCCTCTGCTAACCCTGGTGAATTTCCATTTAGTGTGGGCGGAGTTACTTTTCTGGGTCTGAAAAAAAAAAACCCACTGCCGTGGAGTCCATTCCGACTCATAGCGACCTCCGTTGGGTTTCCGAGACGGGAAATCTTTAGGGAAATAGATTGACCAGTCTTGCTTCCGCGGATTGGCTGGAGGATTCCAACCACCAGTCTTCTGGTTAGCAGTCAGATGCCATAGGCACCGTGCGACCCTAGAACCGGAGGAAAGAAGCTCCAGCGTTTGGGATGGAAGTCAGATATCAGGAACTACTTACTGCCGTGGTGAAAGCGGCTGTGGTCTCATTCAGCTTCCTCTCGCGGCTTGATAGAAAACAGGCCATTGAGTTGTTGGGTGATTTGGCACAGTAACTAACAAGGTTCTATGATTTTTTTTTTTTTTTTTAAATTAGCTGGTCTGAGTTGAACATTTACCTGAGGTAGACACACTCTTTGGAGAGATCAATCTTGGGAGAAAGAAGGGCTGTGTGTGCACAGGGAGACAGCTCAGGGGGCAAGAGTGCGTGAAGGGATAGACACAGGGAAGAGGTAACTATCGGGAGGAAGTGGGAGGGGAGCTGTTGCATTGTGGTAAATTGTAGTCAATGTCATGAAGTAAAGTGTACGTGAACTGTTGTAGGGAAAATGAGTTTGCTCTGTAAACTTTCACCCAAATAACAATTAAAAAAAAAAAAAATTAGCTGGTCACTGAAGTGGATATTCAGACTGAGAATTAAGCCTAGCCAATGAGCTCTAGTGGTGCAGTGGATAGGGCATTGGGCTGCTAATCGGAAGGTCGGTGGTTCAAACCCACCAGCTGCTTCAGGAGAAGGAAGTTGAGGCAATCTACTTCCACCAAGATTTACAGACTTATGGGGAATTGGAGTCAATGTCATGAAACAAAATGTGTATGAACTGCTGTTTGGAAAATGAATTTGCTCTGTAAACTTTCACCCAGATCACAATAAAGATTTACAAACTTGGAAACTCAATGGGGGTCTCTATGAGTCGCAGCTGACTGATGGCAGTGTGTGGTTGTTGTTGTTGTCGTTATGTGCCATGAAGTCGGTAGTGGTGGAACAACTGCAGAGGTGGTCCGGTCTCTCCAACTAGAGGCTTCTCCAATCTGAGGCTTCATCTGGTCCACCTTCTGGGGTCTTCAAAGGTCTCCATTCCCACAAGACCCTCACTCTGAGTTTATTCCCTCAGACATTCATTGTGGGTCTTCTCTGTGGTGGGTGAGAAGAGGAACATGGTGACCGAGGCTACTTTCACTCACTAGATCAGTAAGTGCTCGTGCTGGACACAGGAGTGCAAGGAGGAGCAGATACAAAGCCCACATGAGCTGGAGGTGGTCAGGCACAAATGAATGTTATGGGCAGTGATGTTTACTGGTTGGGAAAAGCTTCCTGGAAGAGTAGAAATGGGTTCTATAGTAAGTATGAAAAGTAGTAATGCTGATGATGTTAGCTATTATTCCTTGATGCCTCCACAGACCAAGTATTGCATGAAGTGGCTAAATTACAGGAGAGTTAGCATAAGGGGTGCTAAGTGTACGGGCTCAGGCCAGCTTGCTCACATTTGAATCTTGATTTTGCCCCATAACTTGCTGGTAACCTCCTGCAAGTTCATTATCACTCTGTGCCTCAGTTTCTCCTGTAAAATAATAATATCTACCTCATAGGGCTGTTAAGAAGATTAGATTTGTTAATATTTCTAAAATAGAATGAGTCTGGCACAAAGTAAGGGTTATATAAGTGGTAAATAAAATTAATTTCTGTTAATTTTTTCCAATATAAATGAACTAGGTGGTATTTTCCTAATTTTATATCCATGAAGGATCACTAGGTGTGAAAAGATGGAGAATACATTTCTCTTAAATGTTTGCTGTAACACTTTGTTGAAGAAAGAGCCACATCACAGATGCCCCTTTGTGTCTTTCATCACTTCCAGAGAAGGTGATTTCTAAGATATTGTTTATCTGATTTTTTTCCCCTTCCTTCTCTTTTCCCCTAGTTATAGCCCACTTTTGGCACTTTGCCAAGTATGAGTGAGTTTTGACATCAGCTGACTTGTTAGTATTTTTTTCTTTGGTTTCTGGACAAGTAATGCAAGGAGGAAAAAGGAAAAACTTTGGCAGAAGCAGCGTTAAGGAATGCACTTCGTTTTCTGTGCCATTCCCGTGTTTCAATCATAAACAAGAATTAGACTGAACACAGTTTTAACTGTGCATAAGTGATTGTTGTTGTTATGTGCTGTCGAGACCCAACTCATAGTGACCCCTCCTTGGGGTTCTGAGGCAGTATCACTAAGGAAGTAGATTGCCCAACCTTCCTTCTGAGGAGTGGCTGGTGGGTTTGAATCACCTGCCTTCTGATTAGCAGTCTAGTGCCTTAGGCACTAGGCTACTAGAGCTCCTGCGTAAGTGATTAGTACACACTGTATGTGGATTCTCTGTGACAACTGCCAGTCCTTTCTCCCCACCAGCATATGACTTGTATGTTTTTAGGGATTACATATTTATTGTAATATTAGCCTCAACATAAAATAATAATAAGAGCACGTCTCTAAAGGAAAAATAAAATAAACATTAAAAAATCGAGTAGAGTAACTTTTGAGGAGCCCTGATGGCACATGGTTAAAGCACTCGGCTGCTAGTTGAAAGGTCAGTGGTTCCAGCCTACCAGCAACTCTACTGCAGAAAAATGTGGTAGTCTGCTTCTGTAAGGATTTACAGGCTTGGAAACTTTGTGGGGCAGTTCTACTCTGTCCTATAGTGTTGCTATGAGTTGGAAGCTATGAGTCTGAATCAACTTGACAGCAATGGGTTTGGGTTTTTATGGTTTAGAACAACTTTTAGAATTATATACAGCAACTATTTTTTTTCATAACCTTTCAATAAATTGAGTAATTGTGGTTTTACTTTGGATAACTTAATTGGCTCTTTAAACACTAGCTAATGTGTTAAGATGAATAATAGTTTAGGTAGTGTGTTGTTGTTGTTATGTGCCGTTGAGTCGGACCCGACTTATAGCGACCCCTCCTTGGGTTTCTGAGGCAGTATCACTACGGAAGTAGATTGCCCCATCTTCCTTCCAAGGAGTGGCTGGTGGGTTTGAACTGTCAGCCTTCTGGTTAGCAGCCAAGTGCCTTTAGGCACTACGCTACCAGAGCTCCTTAGGTAGTATGGTACAGTGAATTACCTATTATGGCCCTTCTAGCCATCTTTGTAACTCCTGGCAAATGACTGGATGGGGCTATGCAGATGCAAGATGCTTATGGCCCACCAAGAGAACTGGATAGCTTGCTAATAATGTAAATAAGGCACACAGCATCCTTGTGAGTGGGACCATGCAAATAAGGTGTATGGAACCCTAATGAGGGGATTAGTCAGTTTTGCCATCCTGCTAGGCTTAAAAGAGAACAAATTCCAAGCAGG